CTCTTTCCTGCCTATGCAGGGGGTCGGACTCGATGATCTATTGAGGTCCCTTCCGACCCTAACATCTATGAATCTATGATAAAGATCTGATTCTGGAAGTGCAATCTAAGGTTTTTGTCCCAGTTCGGAAGATGCGTGCAGTTATCTATAAGGATATATTTACACTACAATCAGTTGTGAGCTCAAGCGTATTGCAGAGATACTCAAATTAGCTGTATGCCAGCTAGCTTGGGTGGCAGCATTAGTTTAGCTGAAACAGCATGGAGCTCAGTGTAGGCTAACAACCTGCAAATGTTGATCCTCTGAGCAAAAATCTTCATGCTTTCAAAAAATTTTGGAGTCCATTCTGACAGAGATAATGTCTTAAAATTTTGTCTAAATTCCTTTCTGAATCTTACCCTTTGAGCCTTGAGAATATTTAAATATCTCTTTAGTAATGCTGGGTAGCACCATTGTGCTCTTTTTCTGCCTAAGGAAAGTTATGCTACAAAATTCAAGTCAAGTAATTTTACTATTGGCTTTACAAACCATTGTCATTTTACTGGTACTTGCTGCTCTTGAACACAAGTTACCATTACATTACAATTTGATGATTCTCTTTGGCTGAGCAAAAAATATTACCATCTATTAAATCCACCAATAACAGCCTGAAGGTATCTTTGGAATTATGGATGGATCTAGGATTTTGAAAAGGGGGGTGCAGAGGGTGCATCATCACATACACCACCACGTTTTTCTCTTGGTCCCCAGGAAAAACAGACACAAGATATCATGACAACACCCACAATCTAAGCATTGGCACCTGACTGACTATGTCATTGTCCATGCCTGGGATTGCAAAGATGTCCATATCGCCCAAGCTAAATTAGGAGCTGATGACTGCTAGACTGATCAACTCATCTGCTCAGTTGTCACTCAAACTGGCTCCCAAATGATGGCCACAGCAGTAGCAATGGCAATGGAAGATTAACATGGAATAACTCAAGAACCCAAGCAAGTGAAACCTCTTCTACCCATGCTTCAATGAAAACCTGGTGAATTTCCATCAACAACAATGGGAAAATGTCAGCAGCATGCAGGATCAAGGCCACCATCATCAGCATCTGTGAAGAGACAATTGGATTCTCTACCAGGAAACATCAAGACTGGTTTGATGAAAATGACCAGGAGATTCAAGAGTTGATTGATCACAAGTGCAAGGCCTTTTGCGCTTGGCAAAACACCACCAACTCCAGGCAAATGAAACTGAATCTCCAACAAGCCAAGGCAGAGGTCCAAAGGACGCACAATATGAAGAACAAATGGTGGAAAGACAAGGCTGAGGAGATTCGACATCTCACTGACATTCACAATATGCACAGTTTCTTCAGTGCCAGCAAAGCCATTTATGGTCCATGCACTCGGGGACCAACCCCCTTGAGACCTAAGGATGGAGGAGACCTGGTCAAGGAAAGGGGAACCGTCAAAGCCCATTGGATGGAACATTTTGAAGATCTTTTAAAATCGAGACACTGCTGTTGATGAGTGTTCTCAACTTCATCCCCCAACGCTCAGTCAGAGATGTTCTTGGAATCCCTCCAACCCTTGATGAGGTGAGGGAAGCCATCAAGCAGATGAAGAACAACAAAGCATCTGGAGCGAATGGAATCCCTGCTGAAACTTTCCAACAGGGAGGAGAGAAGCTCCCATCACAGCTTCACACCCTCATTTTAAAGATGTGGAATGATGAGAAAATCCCAGACGACCTCAGGAACACCATGATTGTGACAGTCTTCAAAAAAGGAGACATGTCCAACTAGAAACTACAGAGGTATCAGCTTGCTCTTCACCACAGAAAAGATCATTGCAAGAACCCTTCTGGAACCATCTCTTTCCACTTGCTGAAGAGCCCCTCCCAGAATCTCAGTGTGGGTTTAAGGTGTCAAGAGGCACATCTGATGATCTTCACAGCTCATCAGCTGCAGGAGAAATGCCAGGAACAACATAAGCATCTCTCTACAATGCCTTCTTTGACCTCACAAAGGCTTTCAACTCTGTCAGCCGAGAAGCGTTGTGGAGGATCCTTCTGAAGTAGATGCCCACCAAAATTTGTCACCATTCTCTGCCTGCTCCATGACAGTATTCAAGCAGGGGTTCTCAGAAATGGATCTATCACAGATATCTTTGAGGTTAAAATGGGCATTAAACAAGACTGCATCATCACTCCAAGACTCTTCTCACTATTCCTTGTCATGATTTACATCTGGCCACCAACAAGCTTCCAGCTGGAGTAGAACTAAGCCATGGAATGGACAACAAGCTGTTTAACCTCAGCCAACTGAGCCAAAACCAAGACCTCCCCCACTCCAATCATTGAGCTCCAGTATGCTGATGATGCTGTTGTGTGTGCTCACTTGCAAGCAGACCTTCAGGCCATTGCTGACGTCTTTACCAAGGCAAACAAGAGAATGGGACTGACATGTAACATTCAGAAGACTAAGGTCCTTCACCAACAAGCTCCTAATGAATAGCTTCAGTAATCCAGATCCATGGTGAGGCTTTGGAAAAGGTTGAGTATTTCCTGCATCTCAGAACCCGTCTCTCGCAGAAGAATGACATCAACGAAGAAATCCAACATCCCCTCAAATGTGCAAGTGCAGCCTTTGGATGCCTGAAAAAACAGGTGTTCAAAGATTGCGACATCAGATCTTGACACCAAGCTCATGGTTTATCCAGCAGCCGTGATCCCCACCGTGCTGTACAGAGCTGAGATATGACGTATAGGAGACATCTAAAGTTGTTGAAGTACCTTCAACACTGCCTGTGGTAGATGTTCTAAATCCAGTGGGAAAACAGACGCACCAACCTTAGCATCCTCCTGCAAGCAAACACCATTGTATTGAAGCAACGATCATCCAAAATCAATTTAATTGGGCTGGCCATGCCGTCTGGATATCTGACTCCAGACTCCTAAATCAAGTTTTAGTCTCTCAATTCAGCCAAGGTGTACACTCAAGAGGAAGGCAGAGAAAGCACTTCAGGGACATCCTCACAGCCAACTTAAAAAAAATGCAGCATCAATTTCAACTTGTGGGAGACTATTGCCCAGGATTGCCCCAAATGGAGGAAGAGTCTTCTGCAGGTATCTCAATACTCTGAAACCTCACAACAACAGGAGATGGAAAAGTTGGAGCAGCTGAAACAGCGTGTCACGGACCAAATCAAGAATCTAGTGCTACCTGCACCACATGAAAACACATGTCCAAGCTGCAGTAGAGTCTGTTGATCCTGGTTAGGCCTCGTCAGCCATCTTCAGACACACAGATAAGACAATCATGGAAGACAATCATCCTTGACTGTGAGGGATTGCCAAAGATGACAATGACTATAGTATTCAATTTAAGATTGAAGCAAAACAAATATAACTATTGGAATGTGCATTAACTCCCTAGTTTTATATATAAAATTAAAAAAACACAACAAAATAGGGAAAAAGTCAAAAGATATAGTTTCATTAGTTCTGTAGTCATTATAGTTAAATGTGTTTCTTATTCAGATTCATCAAACAAAATCTAGTCTTCTTGAATGTCTTGACAGTGCAATACTTCACTGCCAGTCTTTTCTATACTTGGGTTCACATGACCATACCTGGGCTAAGTTTTTAGCTAGAGTCAAACACAAACTGCAGGGCTGTGAAATAGGAGAGACACATTAGCAGGACAGCAAGCAAGATCGCAAAAGAAAGCATAGCTCAAATAGTAGAACATTAGATCATTAAAAAGGAGAGGGTTGTTAAGATCTTGCAGAGTAGAGATTAGCATGAATCAGGGGGATGATAGTGGACCATTAAATCAATTGATTCTTTCAGCACCGACTTAATTGACATGCCACTGCCCATCCTAGGCAGCTTGTTTTAAAATTTGGGAGGAGAAATCAAAGGAGGGAGCAGGGTATACAACTACAGCATTGCACCCCCCACCAGATCTGCCCATTTGGAATTCTCTCATCTATATATTGAAAGTCTAACTTTTACCTTGGGAAAGCAAACAAAATCCATCATGACAATGTGGCTTTGGTATATTTCAAAATCTACTTTCCAATTCAGTTTGTTTTTTATTTAAACAACTACTCAACCATGGAAAGTTCTTCTGTTATCACCGTCCTGAAGGAAAAGATAAAACCTCACAGGTCGCACTGATACAGCTCCATGACAGACAAGTTTATTGAAAGGATTCTTAAAAGCAGACACTCTGAATGTATCCATCAGGCCAACAAGTTCAGAAAAAGCAACTGTTTGGTGTTCAAATGATGTGTGCATGTTACAAATTGTACATTTTAATATACTCATTTATATCACATGACATGAGCATAAAATACAATGATTCTAATGTTACTCAGTATGCCAATTTATTGCTACAATTCCCAAGTAATGTAGGGCACATTTGGACAAACTATTTCCAAAACAGTGACAGCTGTTATCCCCTTTCCTTGGACCCCCCAGAATATCATTAGTGTTCCAATGTAAGAGAGCTTATACCAAAAATAGCATTTTGATTTGCCACAGATAAACTGAGCATTTGTTTTTGCAAGATAGCTCATTTAAAAAAAAACAACAAAAACCAAACAAACCTGGATTAGCAGGAAGTGTAAAAATTGGTTGCTTGGTCTGTTTACACTGCGGCAAGTATTTATGAGATATAAAAAACTTATTTTCCTGTTTGGCTTTTATGCCTCTAGAAAGACTCATCTGTGAGGAAACAGATTCCATGTATAAATCAAAATTGTTATAGAACAGTAAAAATTTAGCTGAGTTACTAATAAGATGAGGATCCAGGATTCATGAAATGCTGCCTTTTCAAAGTAAATGACTCTTCTGGGGTCAGGGAATGCTGCCACTTACCTTTAAACGTGAGTTACCACATTTAAATTGCCAATCTAATGTTTTTATGAAAAGTGATGTTGAATGATTTCAAGAACAGTTTGAAGAAAGTCCCGTATTCATTCTGAACGCAAGTAAAGTTCAATTATTTTAATATAAGAGCAGCACAGCTGCCATGCAATATCAGGTGCTATTTGAAAGCTCCCTTTCAAATTAGGTCAAATGATTCTTACGTATTTGAATGTTTTGCCAACCCTTTTGACCAATAGCATGGCCAATTTACTGTCAAAATAAATTTCGGCAAGTGAAAAAAATTATTTTAACAATAAAAGACCAGTAAATCCAGTGTGAAAGTAACATGGTAGTACAAATATATGCACACTGTGTAATTACACAATACCCACATTCCAGTTAATCATGGGACAAGTAACTGAGTAGATGGTTAAGTATTTTGGGTACAAAATGTTTTGTAAACAAGATGCTGAGCGATCTAAGGAAAATCTGCTTCTGGAGAAGAAGTTTCCAGGATTCTTTTTTTTTTTCTTTTAAAGAAATCAATACTTAAGGATGCTGTATATAAGAATGCACTTTGTATTAAAACAAGGATCAAGACTTTACAGTTTAAGAAACTTTACATATGTACATACATTACACAATTGGGAATGGTTTTTAAAGCTCAGAATGAGTTATCTGAAAATTTTATTTCCCTTCAATTAAAACCTTTAACTCTTTCACATTGTGATCATTTGCAACTGTCACAGCATGGTCCAGAGCTCGAACACTTGCTAGAAGCTTTATTATCTGTTTTATGTGCTCCCTACATGGAGAAAGGGGGGAAAATAAGTCAGTACACACAAACATTAAACTATCCAATACAAGTATTAACATTTGAAAGCAGAGAACTGTTTTATTTTCTGAAAACTAAGTAAATTTGTTGAGAGACAAACAGCTTTGGATAACAAAGTTAAAAAAAATCTGAAGTTAACTGAAATGAATGCAAATTATCAGCTTGCTTCTGGATATTAAACCAGAAAAATTACTTTGAGAGTAGCAACTCTAAAGAGAGAAAGAGCACGTGTTGTACATGTAGGTTACCTGAATGTACCAGTGCCTCAGGATAAAGTCTTTGTCATTAGGCCTGTGCGAAGTGGCTAGTATTCGCTTCGGATTTGGATGCAGCCAATTCTGGGGACAGTGATTCGATTTGGTGATTTGAATCACTGTCCTGAATAGATTCTGCTGAATCCAATTCACTGATTCAGACGCCACTGAACTGGCCGAATCTCCAAATCTAACAGGGCCCATCCCCCACCTGCTCTTCCAGCCCCATCAATGGCTGCCCCGCCCAGCTGCAGCATCCCAGAACTTTAGCAAATTAACCAAAACCCCCGCACTCACCGTCTCCTGCCAGGCAGGGGGGCGATCCCTGCTGGCCCCCACTGCTGCATGGGGGGGGGCCCTGTCATGAACCCCCAGAGGCCCAGACGGCTGTTACAGCAGCTGGTGAGTGTGGGGCTTTTTTTTTTTTTAAATATGTATGTTTTTAAGCTGTCCTGAATGCTGGGGCTGGGTGGGGCAACCACTGACGGGGTTGGGAGAATGGGCGGGGGTCGGGGGGCACTCCATAGGGCTGGGAGAACAGGCAGGGGATGGGGACTGGTGGTGGTTTCCCCCATGGTCCCCTCCCCCCTCCTCCAGCCCCCTCCCTCCACTCCCTACTTACCGGCATGGAGTCTGGGTCCAGCTCCCTACAGCAGTAAGCGGAGACTGCCCAAATCTCCGAATCTCTCCGAATCGATTCGGAGAGCTTTGAAATGATTTGGACCTTTTTACTGGTCTCCCTATTCGATTTGGATTCAGAGATTTGGCTGCCATATCGGGCTGTATCTCCTCTGAACTGAATCAGCAACCTAAGCTTCTCATAGCCCTATTGGTCATAATTGGCAACAGGAAGTGAATCTTTGCTAGTAAACATACTGATCAAGTCAAAAATCAGCAGCCACTCTTTCTGCATGTATCCAGAGGTAAGACAGAGGCCACACACTTACACAAATACCTGATTCAGATCAATTTAATAGGTTTGGTGTGAACTAACCCTAGCAATCTAGTCTACAGAGGTACAAACCTAGTTAAGAACAATTTTACTGCACAAAAAAAGATAACTGCATGGGAGTCAAACATCTAAGGAAAATTTCAAACAGTAGAGAGGTCTAAAAAACTACCTTACATGAGACCATCAAATCAAACTCTGAAACCATCCTTCATACCGGAGAAAGTGACAGATGCAGATACAGGTTAGCATGCTTATTTTCCTTTTGGCACAAGTAATGTGTGATTAATGTTTCTGCTTTGAGACAGAATGTACTAGCAATATTTCCCTTGATGCTGCATGACAGAGGAGTCTAGATGCACAGATACAACACAAGAAGATTTTTATAATTTTGTAAACTGAAATTATAGAGCAAGTCCCTCATATGTTACCATATAGTGACTGAAAAAGCTTTGCCACTTGATGTTTATTTCCCTATGCTTCAATAGGCATTATCTGCACAAAGCACACAGGAATTAAAATTGAGACTGGAGTACAAGGAAGAGATTCTTTGGTTTAATATCCAACTGACCTCCTGTAATATTTTTCCCCTTAATTCACAGTTGCAGTGCTAGTTTTTTCCATATAAAACTACAGTAAATGTAGAAAGAAAATAGCTAATACTACTAACACTCCTCACCTCTTTTCATTTCTTTAAAAAGCAAAATATTGAATCTAGTTAAAGGGTTAAGAGTTTGTGGTTTCTGAGTGCTGAAGGAGAGAGGAAGTTAAGTAGTTACAAGATTTAAAGACAAAAACTCCTGCTGGCCTAGGCTGGCTAAAAAGCAACATTAGACCATCCTTTGCACCAGATCAGTAGTGTTCTCCATTCTCCAACGAGACCATGATTCAGATGTCCACAAAACTAAAAGTTGTTTTTAAAAACAGAGATAAGGATGGAAGCCTAGCAATAACTACCACTTCAACTGAAAGAAATGAAGTTACATGACATTATCACTACAGCTGCAATCAAATGAGGGATATTTGTTCAGGTCTCCAAGAAAAAAAACCTCTCAAATTTGATTTCCTTCCAACATATGCTTTGAAAAAGTTTGGCTATTTAAACCTATACATGATAACCAGTGATCCTAGTTTTTCTCTCTCAAAAAAATATAAAATTCTCTGATAAAACCCCCCAAATCTACATTTTTCTGCAAACAAAACAAAACACCACTATATATAGGTATCAGTTGAACACAATGTTTTATTGACATATTTACAATTATTAATAGATTTGGAAGCCTACCAGTGTCTCAATCATAATTAAATAACGTTCTAAATACCTATATATTTTGGCATTTGATTTTGGTTTTTTTTTTTGTTTTTTTATCATGGAAAATCAGAGCTCCCCCGTCCTCTTTGCTTACCAGGAAATGGGTCCAGCTATGGCCGTCTCCCCTGCTGCTTTGTGGCACTGAGCAGCCCTGATATGCCAGTATCCCTTACTCCCAAGCCACAGCCACCCCATAAACCCTCAACTCCTTACCCACAGCCTCCTGGCCCCCAGATCTCCCTGATAGGCAGAGAATCCACCTCTCCTCTCCAGTTTAGGTCTGAGGACCTGGCACTGGCCCCACCAGCAGCACCCCCGGGGACAGGCTGGGGATAGACTGTTGGCCCCTGCAAAGCACCACAGAGCAGGGGTAGAACCTAGGGGTTTGGGATGTCAGCCCCCTGCTCTAAGCCATCAGCCTCCATTCCCCTCCAAGAGACAGCCAAGAACCTAGATGTCCCAGCTTCCACCTTAACCTGCTGGCCCCAAGTCCTATCCCCAAGTGAGTGGTCTGGGGTGCCAGCTTATGCCCCAGGCCTAGCTCTCTTTACAGAGGAAAGAGGGGCAGAGGAAACTCAGGGGTCCAGGGTCTTTCTTGGGGAGATGGGGTTGTTTTGGATACAGCAGAGGGAAAACCCAGGCATCTGGGCTCCCAGCACTCCCCTGCTCTGACCCCCTACCCCTCGCGCCCTTCCCAAAGCAGGCCGGCCAGACACCCTGCTTTGTGGCCCATTTGTGCTGTTGATGGGGGCTGATCTAATTTTATTCATCGCTAGCTAATTTAATTAAAGGATGCCAGCCCCAAGCCTGTGTCTCCTAGGACCAGTGCTTGGGAGGTGGAAAGGGGCCAGACTTCTTGCTGCTCCCCTCCCCTCCTTTCCCGCATCACATTCCCATACCGGCTGGTGCCCCTCACTCCTGACCTGCAGCCCTTTGTTCCCTCGCAGCCCTGCCAGAAGGGCCTAGGCCCCACTGGCCCCAAAGCCTGCAGAAGGCAAAGTGAGTCTGAGCCAGCCCTGGCTCTTCTCAGATTCCACCCCCTGCCCCCCCTCAAGCAGGCAGGGCTTAGGGTTTCATGTCCTTTTTGCAAGCAGCTCATTGCACGCTAGAACTCTGCCAGCCTGTGGAGAGCTGTTTGCAAAAGGAGAAAATCCGCGTTTTTTTCTACAGGAAACAAAGTCCAGTTCCCCGATGAGAACAAGAACTACCATGGAGGAGAATGCAATTCCACTGACAGCCTCCAAAGATATAGACTCTAATATGGCTCAAGTACAGTTCTGCAATAAACAAGTACCTAATTACCTACATCATGGCTTTACATGTCAGATTCCACATGGAATTTCAGCTTACAAACAGGTTTAACCATTAGCCCAAACTTACCTTGAGATCTTCTCTTCTTATCTATCCCCACCAAAATAAAGACTTTGCAGGTCAAAGACTGCTCTGTCACACTAACACAAACCTTTGTTTTCAAATTACATCCTTGATGGAAATGATACAAACACTGAGATGACTGGTATATGGACTAGTTTGCCATCAACTGCATTTAAGCATCTAATCTAACCAATTCATCTAGCTAACAGGTAGACTACTTTTCCCCATGCGGTGTGACAAGCTTGATGGGAAGCCAGCAAGAAGAAACAATCCCAAGTGCAATCTGAAGTCTTTTTTTTTTTTTTTTTTAAAAGAGTAGAACAACATAATGAGAACAGATCACACACAATCCATATAAAATGCACCCAAAATCCATGATGCCATGTTAGGGGACATCACTCCAAAGATTATAAAGCAACATGCAGAATTTTATGGGGGCTTATTTTTCATAAGCAGTGCGCATCAGCAATTAAAGAGATACCAATGCATTATAATATTAAAAATAAGTTACCTTGCATTTCTTTTCTCTACATCAGAGCAGCCAATGCTGTTTCTGTAAATTACATCAGCCAGATGAACAAGATATCTACAGAAGTTTTCTAGCTGGATAATGGTTTTGTCCCCTTTTAGATTGGTAAACCACTGTTTAGGAAAGCAAGCAATTACCTAGAGAGGAAGGGAAGAGAAACTTAAAAAAACCTCAAGTAACAAAACATAAATATCAAAGGTGTGATTTTTGGGGGGGGGGGAGGGGGGAGAAGAAGAGTAAAAAATGCAAGGCCCGATACAGACATTACAGTCCTCTCACTATGTACAATATAAAATGTCCAATGTAAAAATTATGTTAGCATCACATACTGAATCAATTTTTAAAGGCACCAGTATTACCCACCAACAGCAATAAGGGCATAATTCTATTTTAATTCATGAACATTAGAACTAAAGCTTGATACACTCACAGAGAAGTTGCCTTTTTGAAAAGATCATAATAAGAGAACCCAAGGGAAAACTTGGGGAAGCTGAACAGATTCCAGTCAAACCACAAGTACACATTTACATGACTTGCAATTCATGAGCTGGAAAGTATTTGAATTTACAGAGTACATTTTATTTCACTTTACTTACACTCTGAGCTTTCTTAATGCTGTCATCTCCATACTCAGAATTTTGAAATGCCATAAGAATATATCTATTTAGCAGTCCATCTATTGATAATTCCTGTAGAGCTTTGTTTGAAAGGATTCCATACCACTGGAGAAAGTTTCCTAGTAACTGAAAGCAACAAAAAGAATATGAAGACTGTTGAGTATATGAAGGCAAACTGATAAATGATAAACAGTTCAGAGCATGTTCAAATATACTGATTAGGGCTGAAGTAAAAGAGAGAAGAATAATGTTGACCATTCAGTTTCATACCTAAACAGAACCAGTGAGATGATTTTCTCACTATTATAAAAGAAAACCCTTTATTTATACAAAGAAGCTTGTATACAGTTCCTGGCTGTGGGCTACTGCAAAGATAAACAACTGAAGAAAAAAAAAGCAATGTTTTAAAAGCCCAAGTTTGCCCTACAAATTTAAAAGGTAAGCATCTGTGAAACCAAGCATGGAATAGCATACTGGTGACCAGATTTTTCAAACTAAGGCCTGAATATTTCTATCAGTTCTTTGGGGGGCAGATTTTTTGCCATCTTGAAAGACACTCTGCTGCTACTAAGCACTTAGGAACACTTAATTTCCGAGAGCCACTGGTACAAGAGACATGTGAGAATGGACAGGAAGAAGTTCACCAAGTATGCTGTGCTGCTGTTATTCAGGACTGGTGTAGAGCCCTGGGGAGATATTTCCAGCCTACTGTAAAGTACAGCAGCCTGCATGGGATAGATAGAAGAGATCTTTTCAAAGATGCTCCCCTAACCCAAGGCAGAGATAGTAGAGCTTTTGGCACTAATCCTTTTGCCTGTGTACATAGCCTGGCAGGAAAGCAGGCAATGAAGCAGTCGAAGCAACTCTCTTTCTTTTTGTGCAATGCAGTTAGTGGCCAGTAGAACAGCTGTTGAGAAGCTGCAGAAGAAATGGGACAGCAGTATCCCAGAGTGCTCCCCACTCATTCAAAAAGTCCAAAGTTTTCCTTGAATTCTAGCTGGAAGGCAGCACCTCCTTCCCCTTCTATGTAACAGCAAGAAGGATTCAAATACTTCATTAAAAATGCCAGAAGGCAAAATTTACAATGAGCTAAATACTGGTTCCCTTGACAGCAAAACTGTCAAGTGGTGTTGCTCACTCTGACATTTTACACAAATATGAGATATCTGAACAGAATGAGAAACTTCAGCTTACAGTCAAGGTTCTGCCTCAAGCAGTGGCACAGGAAGTCACAAAACTGCATGGTGATAAATGAGTATGAGGGACTGCTTTGTTGCTGGATATAAAGGGCTACACTGGTGGGGAGCTCTGTGAGGATATCTGCAGGAAAGCAAGTAGCTAAGGGTACCTATAGAATGGAGGGTTGCGACTGAGCCCCTCATCATGCAATCAGTCAACCAAAGCAGCACGACATGCCTGCCTGCAGCAGCAATTGCAAGTCATTTCAAGAGTCTACATGACATCTCAGCTGGGCTGCAAGATTCAGGCCTCATCTACAATGCGTAACTGTTAGCAGGAATAAAGTTCTGCCAGCAAAACTGCAAGTGTATCCACACTTGCAGCTCCCTCCATGGCAGCAGAACCCTTTTGTTGCTGCACCATCAGCTCTGCAAACAAAAGGCAGAATGTGTAGACGTGCCCGTGCCTTTTGCCAGCTGTCCGTTAATGTCTAGTGTCTCCCAGGAGGGAATGCACTCCGTGCCTTGCCAGTGCAGCTGTGACAGTGGATCCACCCAGTTTCAGCCAGATTTACTAAGTGCTGCCAAATGCCATGTGGGTACATATGTAATCCGGTTGCAGCAGCACTCTTGATTACAAGGCTTCTTTTTGCAGAAATATTACTAAATAGTCTTGTCACTATGGACTACTGTATCAGATAGTGTCACACAAGACATGGCATTTTGCAGGTCTGACACAAATATTTATCATTGTCATCGTATCTGTTTTACTCTACTTGAGGCTGGGAACTCGGTGGAGACAGGAAACACCTTGCCTATTACACACTCATAGTCTAGGAAGATGACAAAACTTTTAGATGCTGTGGATAACTTGTTCTTGTGCTTGGAAAAGTGTATCGGCTTAGAAAGTGAACCAAAGAGTGGACAGATTTGGGAGTTGAAGACAGACAGCGTCACTGAAACCCAGACTTTTACAAATAGTTGTGTTTCCAGGATTTTTTCTTGTGGCTGAGGTGAGAAAAGGTGGAACTGTTTTTGTTTTGTTTTGCTTTTTCCAATCTCTGCATGAAAACAAAAAATCTCTGTATTTTAAAGTCTCTTTGTGATGCCACCTTTTAGTCAGAAAACATTTTTATTATTTGTAGAGGTGCACCAATATAAGTTGGTCCATATTGGTGGACCTGGGGGTGCGCACAGTGGTGGGAGCTGCCTTCCCCTGTCCCCTGGATGAGCCACATGTGGCTCCATCCCATGCCCCACCCCACCTGGGCTGCGCCTGGCCCAGCCCCACTTCTTCGAGAAACACTCAAAGCTGCCAGGCTGTATAAATTGGCAACTGGATCAGTACTGGCCAAAAAAAAAAAATGGTTAAAAATCATCATTGGCCCAAAAAGTCTTTATCAGTGCACCCCTAATTATTTGGTTTCCTTGAAACTTTCTGCATCTCTGTTCTCCAGAGGGGAATATGGCTGGACTCTCAGGTTTCAAATGTTAAAAGGAAAATAATTTTAATTAAACAAAACTGGTCACTGTAACAAGTGTGGAGCTCTGACCCCAGAGTCTGATGCCACCTGGCAGCTAGACCCACCTGCTCTGTCCTTGAGCTTCCCTAGCCTCCTGTTTCTGATCTGCCATGCCTTGATATTAAATATGATTACCTTGGTAGGCTGCCTCTAATAACCGGGTAGCTCTGTTTAGTGTCTTCCCCTATGCACAGTCCTTGGGGCTTCTCTATCCTTGAACATACTGTATTTACCTGAATCCAAGAAAACTCTGAATTTAAGATGCTCCCTGAATAATTACATTCTATAAGGAAAATTTATAAATTTGTTATAATTTTCCATGTACAGAATCATTTATTGGAGGATTGTGTTAAAATCACCCACACTGCTGCAGCATGGAAAGTAGTGACAGGAGGGCAGGCAGTGAGAAGGGAGTCAAGCAGCCTGCCTCCTACCACATATCCCCAACACCTGCTTCCTACCTGACCCCACCACTGTTTTCCCTGCTGCACTATTTGTCTTAGTTCATTTTTAATTGGACTATTGAGTGTTATCTGCCTAGTGTATTGATCAAATCTGCATAGATATCTTTAAGAGTTGTAAGATTAGGCAATTCATTTAAGCATTCCCTAATTCTATACTCTTTGTATGGGAGAGAGATTTTAAAAGGGCACAGTCCTATCAAAGGTAATAATTTTAGTTAAGCTTATATACTGTACTTGAATTCATGTTCAGATGGTTAAAATCACAGGTATTTCCCACAACAAGTACTTATCACTCAAACCCTGAACACAACACTCGCACAAAATTTTCACATAAAGCAAGTATGGCAGAAGGACAACGAAGTCATTCCGTCTATATAATTACGAGTATTTAACAATAGCAGTACCTAGATAAAACCTCACCAGATATTTGTCAACTTACCTTAACTGAGGACCAAAACTGGCGTTGGAAAAACAAATATGGACCAGAATTCTTGTTTTCTAAGACACTGGAAAATAAGAGATTTCTCTAAACTCATTTATAAAACCAGGCATTAAAACCTCAGCCTGAAGGTTGTGGATTAATCTCTATTTTCACACACAGAAGTAGACTAAAGAGTCCAGATTTACACCACCCATGATTCACTTTCTCTTCATTTAACTTCTCCCTACATAGCAGTGAAATTGCTGCAGCCAAACCAAAGAACCACCCCAGAACTACACAAAACACCTCATCTACCATACTTAAAACAAACTGTACTTGGTACTGTTAATATACATATTCATAGAGGTATCTGCACATTTAATAATAAACTTACTTTTTTGGATACAATGGCATGAATACATCATCATCTAGTGTCCTCCTCATTCTTAGTAACAGGGCTTTCAAGAACGTCTGAAAAAGTGAACATCGGGATGGAATCACTAAAAATGCTAGAAGTCCTACTTGGCTGTTAGAGACCCACTGTAAAAATGTAAAGGCAATGTACTTTAAGAGCCAACTGGACAAAGAATGGAAGCATGTACTTAACTTTAAGCAGGCAGATAGTCCCCTGAAGTCAGATATAAGGATTATTAATATCCAATTTTTAGTACAATATTTTAAACCACATTTATTAAAACTCAATTGGACTTCTCCAGGCTTAACATTAGACACATGCTTGTCAGTTTGTAGACCAAATCCTCAATCTTCATGCTGAAATAACTTTTCCCCGATAACTGCCCTGGACTACTTCCAACTATTTTAATGAGAGCGTACATACTGCAGTAAATACTATACTAGTAACTCATGACTACCAGACCTACCTAAAATCGTAGTTTTGCGGAAACTAAGAAAAACAGAAACAGCATTGTCTGTCATTACCTGGAAATCCAGCATTGGCTGTAATCTCCCATAAAAATCAATCAATCAAAAAAAAAAAAAGAGAGGCAGCAGTGAGGCAGACTGAGTGAATGCACCCTCTACCAAATCAGCAGCAAGGAGCAGAGCAAAGTGGTAGTGATGTAGACTGAGTGACAAAGACTGAGCCCTCCACCAACCAGCAGTGAGGGTCAGGGCCTCCATGAAAGTGGCTCTGCATGTTGCAAGCCGGGCATGAAAAACCCATCATCTCACAGTGACTTAGGTAGGTCCCTACTCATGAGATAAGTTCTTTGGTTCATAGACAAAAGGCAAGCAACTGAATTTTGGAGCAATAAATCCAGAGGCTGCTCCAGGAACAAACTGTAAAAGGAAGAAACCAAATGGTTTTCAGGCAAACCATAAAGGAAAATTATAGCGTCATAATCAAGTTTAGTACCCTTTGTATTTCCCTGTGCCAATCTCACCAAAAATTATGCACTCTTCAATTTCTCAGCTCCTTTTCCCAGTGCACTTCCCCAACTGGCTTTGCTTAGTGCTACAGAACTAGCTAGGGCACATCATTAGTTATAAAATTCTGTTTCTTATTCCCACAGCAGATAAACACTATGCTGTTTTCCACTGTGCTATGTTTATTCTGTAAAAACCATCCCCCCAAATTTCCTACAACGGCAATTGAGATAAAGGTTTACCTGTGTGTTTTTGTTCTCTGCATTTACCACTGAAGGATATCCATCTACTAGTTTCTGTGTGATTGCTACCATTTTAGATGTCTGTGATGTGGAAAAAGGGTCCCATATATTCTCAGCAATGACTATTAAAATAGAATTAAAATTACTCCACCATTTTCTTCACAGGTGCTCAGAAAAACAAGCAGGAAGATAGTTAAACAAAAACAAAAGAAAAGGTTTATACCTTTATTTAGGATAGTTTAGCAGCTTTAAGTAGTAATAAGACAATGGTATTTTTGAGAAACATACCTGTTAGTTTAGCAAGAACCACCCTTTCCACAATGGTAGGCAACAGTGAAATATCTGCATCATCCTTCTCTTGCTCCTGTTCTTCACAGCCATAAAAAAGCAATGATTCAAACCACAACATATTCTCAAAATCTCGACATTTACCCTATTAAAAAGTGAAAAGAGATGTCAGTTTCCATATGTTAAGATCAAGACCAACAATACCTTAAAATACCTCTGTTAAGTAGTACTAATATCAATTTAACACACCTGCAGGCTTTAGACAAAGAAGTAACAGCTCTGAAATTATTTGTCAAGTGTCCTAATAAGCCACATTGAGTAGCACTGGGTACACTACACGGTATTTAGACATGTGTTTTGCATCTTCAGTTACCTAAATAAAATCTAGCCTGAAAGAAAACTTAGCTCCTAGAAAACTGTAGAAAGTACAGAAGACTAAAGTAGTAGAAAGTAGTTAGACCTGTGACCTACAAGAACCAACTAGGGGGCATTCACTGAAATTAATAGGAGGCAGGTTTAAACAAACAGTGGGTAGTTAACTTGTGACCCTTACTGCCAGAGAAGGTTCCAACAAGCACAGTGGTTCTCATCCTTTTTAGAGGCAGGGCATCCCTCCATTACTTTTTTTAATCAAGCAGCACTCCAGGTTGAGAGCCACTGAGTTAATGCAATGTGCTGCATGTGTTTACTCTAGAAAGTGCTTTAGATGAGGAATAGAGAGCCATGAAAAACCTTCCTGCACTCAAAGCCCAATTGCTAAAAATATCTTTGATATACCCAGTCTTAAATCAATAGTATTCTCCTTCCTTCAGCACTTTAAGACTCTTCTTTCTGACTAGGGTTATGATTTTTTAATCAGTTGGAACAGAGCAGCACTGAAGAGTCAAAAATGGTCTCCAATTTTTCTGAAAACTGCTACCAGATTAAAACAAAACAAAAATGTACTGAATGTGGAATACCGTGCCTCTTGGTCTGCCTGTTTAGAAAGTGAACCAAATTTTATTGGTTTGGGGAGTTTATAGTTATTTTACACAGAATCACAGACTGGTTTCTGTATGAATCTCCTTCAGTAACACTCCATGACTTCTTTAGACTAAAATATGCTGCCTCAGTGGCTTTCAGCCAGGTTGCTGCCACTGCCACCATGACCAGGTAAACGGGCCTCATGCTCCTGGCTGCACAACCAGATGGGGAAGGCTGCAGCACAGGCACTCTCCTGCTTGCATTAAGGCTCTCTGATAAGCTTAAAGTTGAAAGGCCAGATTCTGGTGCTGCAGCTCTTCCTAGTCTGACTCTACATGGCGTCTCCCAAAAACAGAGGCATCCAGAGGAGGTGGAACTGTCCTGCATGCCTCTGCTTACGGGAGGAACGTGGGGGGAGAACAGATGGGGAACGGCTATAGCACAAGCCAGTCCTCTGCCTGGCTTTGGTTTACCAGACAGCCCTAAAGCAAGCAGGAGAACACAATACATGACAGGTGCTTGTGGCACTTGTACCCAGCCACAACAGTGGAGCCTGCATCATGGCAACAATGAAGAAGATAATATAGTCAGAGTCAAAAAAGGATTAGACAAATCCATAGAGGATGGGTCTGCTGGGAACAGAAGAGAAGCCAGGGATCTGGCATCCTTAAAATCAATGATGATTGATGCCAGGGTGGTCATGACAGGAGATGGACTACTCAATCTTTCTGGATTCAAGGCACCCCTCCACAACTTCTTGGAATTGAGTGGCATCCAATGTAAAAAAATAATTCAGATATTACACCACTTACCTCCTTACAAAAGAGGCTGGGCAGTGGGGATAGGGGATCAGCCAGGCAGGAATAAGCCTAGACCTGTTCTTAATTGCTTATCTCCTCACAGCCTACTTATCTCCTCCCACCTGGAGGCACCCTTCAAAGGATATCACGGTACCCTGATTGAGAATCACTACTCTAGATAAACCTTGTTCATATATTCTTCCTCTAAAGCAGGGATGGATAACCTGGCAGTACATGTGGCATGAGTGGCACAGGCAACCTTCATGCGCAGCATGTGGCAGATAGGAGTGGGGACAGGAAGCACAGCAGCAGACAGGACAGGAAACAGAAAGAACAGCAGAATGGGCAGGGGAAAGGGATTGGACTGGTACTTGGTGAAAGTGTAGGACTTAATTTCTGGCATGCCTGTCAAAAAGGTTGGCCCTCACTGTTCAGCAATATCTGCCAAATGCCACTATCACAAACAGCAAACTGGGCTAGATGGGCTATTGGTATAATCCAATCGAGCACTTTTTATGTACAGAATCTTAATTAAAAGAGGCACAAATTCTATTTTAATGAATATGGCCTTCTACCTTTTTTATTAAAGGAACCAATTTTGTAACCTATGGAACAAAGTTATTAATCTGTATGTCCCTGCCCCCCCACACACATACAGAGTTTACATGCAGAACATAGAAGTTTTTTTGCTGCCCATAAGTTCAACACTGCCTCAAGTAGTCTTCTCTTGATCCCTTCCCTGGCAACTCCATCTTCACAAATATCTGCATGTATCTACACTACAAATCAAGCAAAGTGGAAATCCACTTGGAACTTTTTCAACATCTGTATATCCTTAAACAGTAAAACAAAACAGTTTATTTTAATCTGAAGACACACTCACTGGTAAACAAGATTAAAGTGTATTCTTTAAGTCTGTTTTGGACTCTTGTGCACTTCCTCTTATTTGGCAAGTGTCCAAAAAACTAACTTGTTAATTATCAGGTGAGTGGGGAAAAAAACAAAGAAAAACACTGTATATATCCTTGCTTACACTAGGAAAAATATAGCAACACAGCTGTCAGCAAGGGGCTTGATTTCTGTGATTAAAGAAATTGATGAAACGCAAGATGGAGGTAAAAAATGTAGCTGATTATGTTTGATCATTAAGAAGGAAAGAGAGAGACTGTCAGTTCAGTAATATTGGGAGCATGCAATATTTTAGGATTATTTAGCAATGCTTATTAGGACTGTCAGAAACTTTGGCAGCCATTCTGTTTCAGAGGTGTTTCGACCCATTTTGGCACCTGAAACGCTGAATCCAAAATAAAACGAAACCATCCAAAACAATTCAGAAAATTTTGGAGTTTTGAAGCCGGGCTTGCAGGGAAACGGAAATTAAGAGGGGAGGGAAGGGGTGGGGTGGAGGGAAGGACTGCTCTGACATTGACATCTGTAGCTGGCCAGTGTCTGTCCCTGAGGTCCCTTCCAATCCCAGTGCTCTGGGGGAGGAATGACAGCCTGCTGTCATCCCACGCACAGATCTGGGGGGCCCGCGCCCCCTAGCAGGAGTCTGGCACATCCCCACAGCCCTCTTGGGGGGCGTGGGCCCCCAGATCTGCGCACAGGATGACAGCATGCTGTCGCTGCCAGCTGGGACCAGTGCCAGCACCCGAGTCTGCTTGGTACAGCCCGCACTGAGCACCGGAAAGAACCCAGTGCTGGTGCTGGCCTCAGCCAGCAGCGGCAGCCTGCTCTCATCCTGTGCACAGATCCAGGGGCCCGCGCCCTCCGGGAAAAGTCTGGCACTGCCCCGCAGCCCTCCCAGAGGGGCATGGGCCCCTGGATCTGCATGCGGGATGACAGCATGCTGCTGCTGCCAGCAAGTACTATGAGTTTTGCTTTGAACAGTTTGAGGTGCAGTTTCACAGAAACCCCTACACCTGTCTCCTTGAAACTTGACAGGCTTCATGCCCGCAAAACAGGCTATCATCCCTACAAGTTTCATCCAAATCAGGCAAGAAATGACAAAGTTATAGACATTTTAGTGATTCCCCATTATAACCTATGGCTGAATCACTGAAAGTGTCAAAACTTCAAAAAAGATTCAGCCAAATCAAAATGGATCAGCGATCTAAACACCGAAACAAATCACTGTCCCTCCGAAATGGCCGAATCCAAAACTGAATCAAAACATAGCTGTTTCACAGAGTCTTATTTGCTTATCAATGCAATATACAAAAGGTCACTGTAGAAACAGATTAAAATCAATCCTACAGTCCCATTCGGGCATCACAGTAAAATAGCAGGTACACTGACCCAGGAGACATTAGTAAAAGAGAATAGCTATGTGACAAGCTTAGAATACCAAACCGAATTTTTACAAATGCTGTGTGATCTGGTCAGCAAAATACAATTATTAATAGGTAACAGGGTGTTTTGGTCTTTTAATTGTTTTAGCTTAAAAAGAGCTTGGGGAAAACAAGCAAGGAAGGAATGCAATGGATTTAGATAAGAATCATCTCTTTCAGATGCTGCCAATTTTGCCAATCTGGTAGCCCAGAAATCAAAAGAACACTTAACACAGTTTAAAAAAAAACCCTATTCTTGTAATAGGTTTTACTCTATTGAGTGGAAGCAGCTGACACAGATAAAATTTGCAGAGGGAGTCTAAATGAGTTATGCCTCATGGAAAAAGGCAGGTA